GACTGTATAGTCGATTTAACCAAATGATGATGACAAAAAAGTCCCAGTGACATGATTCCGGACTATAATCCCCTGTAGTTTTGGGTTTTCTTCTTCTTCTTCTTTAGATTGGTGGCTGACAACCAATTTTAAAGGTGCATTATCGCCACATACCAGACTGGAGTGTGGAGCAGTATATGACAAACAAGGGAACTAATTATATTCTTTCCATCAATCCTGTATTTTTCACATTTTATGTTGAGTTTTATGTAAACGTGACAGGACTGACCGAAAACATGGGGACAGTTGTAAAATAGTACTTATTTGTAGAATTTATGTATAATTTCATGTTTTTAATCAGTTGATTTGAATGATAACAACTCAAAATATGATTTTTTTCCCCCTAAATAACAGTTTTTAGCATAACAAAACGATGAAAGCTGTAGGCCCAATTTGGCTGAGGACAAGGACAGGATTTGTAATTTTCAAAAGTGTTTTTAATAAATTTAAAAATATCTGAGAACCTAATGAATGACATATTCCTTTACAGAACAACTCACAGAAATCAACCATAAGTCAGTTTTAGACATTTTTTTGGATGTAATACTTTTTATTCACTGTAACAAGTCAAGGACAGATAATGTACATTTCTGGTAGAATGTCCCTTTTCCTATTCTTACGCATGTATACGCACACAAATATTCCTACTTAAATAATTATTCGATGCTCCATCCCATTCCTTCTCCCCAGGATACACCTGGTGCTGCGTGTTCAGCTCATAGACTGTATAAAAACAGGGTTCAGCTCCTCCAGAATAAATTCTGTGATCTCCTAAAGATTGTTCGCTGTTTTACTTCTTCTTCTTTTTTGGTGTTTATTGGCGGTTGGCAACCTAACTGACTGGTGCATTACCCTACCGACTGCAATAAAGTATGGATCAGGATTTTGCTTGTAGGACAAAATTTAACCATAAAAAACAATCAAAACAAATAAATAGACTAGAAAATTTTTTTACAATTAAAAATAAATAAATAAAAAAGACTATATTCTTTTATAGTCGACTGTATAGTCGATTTAACCAAATGATGATGACAAAAAAGTCCCAGTGACATGATTCCGGACTATAATCCCCTGTAGTTTTGGGTTTTCTTCTTCTTCTTCTTTAGATTGGTGGCTGACAACCAATTTTAAAGGTGCATTATCGCCACATACCAGACTGGAGTGTGGAGCAGTATATGACAAACAAGGGAACTAATTATATTCTTTCCATCAATCCTGTATTTTTTAGGTAAATCATGAGATGTTTGACCACATTCCAAGTACTTCCTTCTAAAAGCTCCTGAACATTAACATTCACAATGTCTTTCTTTAGCATTTGAAACATTTCCCTTCTTTCCTCCTCATATTTCCTACATTCCAATAACACATGTAACACTGATTCCGTTACCTCACAATTTTCCCACAAACCTGTTGGATGTTTGCCTATTTTTGGAATATTGTCTGATTCAGTCCAGTATGTCCTATTCTAAGCCGAGTGAACAAAGTACCGGCAGGGATTGTAGGTGGGGGGAGTGAATGTACAGCGCTCTCTCCCAGCTTCAATACCACGACTGAGGTGCCCTTGAGCAAGGCACCGAACCCCCAACTGCTCCCCGTGCGCCGCAGCGGGTGTGTGTTCACGGTGTGTGTGTGTTCACTGCTGTGTGTGTGCACTTTGGATGGGTTAAATGCAGAGCACTAATTCCAAGTATGGGTCACCATACTTGGCCACATGTCACGTCACGTCACATGTCACACATTAAAAGCTTCAAATTTACAGTGTAATGTCTATTTATTCAAATAATGTTTTACTATGGCATGCGTTAAATACATATTATATGCAATAAAGGTAATAAAAAACAACAATGCCATTCATTTGTAAGGCCGTGTAACAGGACTGCCAGGCCCTCACACACAGGGATGTGACAGGGCCTGACGGTCGGCCATTTTAAACTGCCCTTACTCAGCCTGCCAGCATAAAAACTGTTAACATGCAATCAAGGAATTTCAGTAACTTTTTTAGACATGTTTTGGATTTAAAAAAAATCATACAATTCAATGACAGAACTCACACTTGATCAGTGTCAGCTTCACCTTTGAGTCATACCTTACCTTTAAAGGCGCATTACACACATTTTATGTTGAGTTTTATGTAAACGTGACAGGACTGACCGAAAACATGGGGACAGTTGTAAAATAGTACTTATTTGTAGAATTTATGTATAATTTCATGTTTTTAATCAGTTGATTTGAATGATAACAACTCAAAATATGATTTTTTTTCCCCTAAATAACAGTTTTTAGCATAACAAAACGATGAAAGCTGTAGGCCCAATTTGGCTGAGGACAAGGACAGGATTTGTAATTTTCAAAAGTGTTTTTAATAAATTTAAAAATATCTGAGAACCTAATGAATGACATATTCCTTTACAGAACAACTCACAGAAATCAACCATAAGTCAGTTTTAGACATTTTTTTGGATGTAATACTTTTTATTCACTGTAACAAGTCAAGGACAGATAATGTACATTTCTGGTAGAATGTCCCTTTTCCTATTCTTACGCATGTATACGCACACAAATATTCCTACTTAAATAATTATTCGATGCTCCATCCCATTCCTTCTCCCCAGGATACACCTGGTGCTGCGTGTTCAGCTCATAGACTGTATAAAAACAGGGTTCAGCTCCTCCAGAATAAATTCTGTGATCTCCTAAAGATTGTTCGCTGTTTTACTTCTTCTTCTTTTTTGGTGTTTATTGGCGGTTGGCAACCTAACTGACTGGTGCATTACCCTACCGACTGCAATAAAGTATGGATCAGGATTTTGCTTGTAGGACAAAATTTAACCATAAAAAACAATCAAAACAAATAAATAGACTAGAAAATTTTTTTACAATTAAAAATAAATAAATAAAAAAGACTATATTCTTTTATAGTCGACTGTATAGTCGATTTAACCAAATGATGATGACAAAAAAGTCCCAGTGACATGATTCCGGACTATAATCCCCTGTAGTTTTGGGTTTTCTTCTTCTTCTTCTTTAGATTGGTGGCTGACAACCAATTTTAAAGGTGCATTATCGCCACATACCAGACTGGAGTGTGGAGCAGTATATGACAAACAAGGGAACTAATTATATTCTTTCCATCAATCCTGTATTTTTTAGGTAAATCATGAGATGTTTGACCACATTCCAAGTACTTCCTTCTAAAAGCTCCTGAACATTAACATTCACAATGTCTTTCTTTAGCATTTGAAACATTTCCCTTCTTTCCTCCTCATATTTCCTACATTCCAATAACACATGTAACACTGATTCCGTTACCTCACAATTTTCCCACAAACCTGTTGGATGTTTGCCTATTTTTGGAATATTGTCTGATTCAGTCCAGTATGTCCTATTCTAAGCCGAGTGAACAAAACCTCTTCTTTTCCGTTTCTGCCCCTCATTCTGCCAACACCGACTTTTTCCTGACTATTATAAAGATGTCGACCCGTATCGTTTATATCCCAGTATTGTTGCCATTTATCCATAATTGAAGATTTTATAATACTCTTTCCCTCAGTTCTACTTAATGGGACATTTAAATCCACAGTTTGTTGTTTCAATGACAATTTAGCCAGCTTATCAACTTCCTCAACTACTACATGAGCAGGAACCCAAACAAAGCCAACGTTCAAGCCCTTCTCATGTAAACAGAATATGTTTCGATGAATTTCATTAATGCCATCTAATCTGCATGATTTCATAGTTTTAATGCTTAAAAGAGCAGACCAGCTGTCCGATGCAATTATTGCATTATTCACATGATTTTCCTGTATCCAGTTTAAAGCTAGTAGTACTCCCACAGGTTCAACTGTATATACTGATAATTTATCTGTTGGTCTTTTTATTATAGCTATATCATATTGAGGAATATATACTGCTGTTAGCTGTTTTATTAACAGTTCTGTGTTATTTGAAGGCCTGTGACAACGTGCCCCAGTAATGTCACTTGTCATGTGTCTACTCAAAGTCTTTTTTGCCCTCTGCTGGTCAAAGAGACTTAGCCTACTCTTATCATTTATCCAACTACAAAGTGCAAACGGAAAATGCAGCATCGACTGTCACATTATAGCTACAACAATAGGAACAAGGTTCTTTTTTCAATTCGCGTGATACATTAATTACCTTATAGCATTTCAGGAAATCTTGAAGACATAGCCTATACGTCCAAGTTAATTTATACTTTTTCTGACTATAGCAGCTGCTACTTGAGCAGGATTAACTGTGTGTGATGGCAAATGCCTATTATGTTGTTTGTGAATTGTTAAAACAGCTATAGGAGTTTATTTTTTCATTTACATTTACGTTCTTCTTGAGGACTACACAAATGTGCGCGAGTAAGGACTACAAATCCCAGTCACTCTATATGCCATACGCGGGGGCGGGAACCACAAAGCTTCTGCTGCTTATAGCTTAATCACATTCAAATACAAGCAATCGCGGGCGTAAAGCGGCTAGTGCTAAATATGTAATCAGTCTTCAGTTGCAGAGTGTGCATTTGAGGTTACTGCCTGTCAATCAACTATCAAAAATGTCGTTTATTTACATGCTGGATAGAAAAGCTATGGGGCATCTTTGTGCTTGCCTGTGAGGAAGTGTGCAGTGTATAAACAACAGCCCAAAACACACACATGAGCAAAACCACTCTCTTATTATAATGCTACAAATTGAAACATGCTTCATAAGCGGGAGGTTTAACGAGGTCGCCGCGCAACTCGTGAGGCGATGACGCCAGTTTAATAACGTTGACTTTTATGAGCAGGCACATACTTAGGGCGCCTAAAAAGTAGAATCTAGGCTAATCCCGCCCTACATATTCCATGATTGGCCAGTGAAACGAGGGTCTCCGGAACACGCGTGTACTATTGGCCGGTTTAGCTGCTCATCACGACGTCATCAGACGCTCGCGCTATATAAAGCACTGAAAGCCCCGTTCCTCATAGCGAGATTCTGCAGCTCGTTAGTAAGTTCAACCGAGTAAGCGCAGTAGTTTAGCTGACCAGTTAGGGGTTAGAAAAATAAACAGAAAACGACCATTGAGATCAGTACTTCCACACAGCCTGCCGATATTCTAAAATAGAATTCGTTTGTGTTTCACTAAGCTTTATTTTAAGGGGCGTGTCCTCTGAATGTATTATTTTGATTGTGAACCTGACGTCAGCGGACAGCTGTGCGTACTGGCGCTTTCAGTGCAGGATGTGCAAGGACAGCAGTCGCTACACTGACCAGGCTGCTGTGGGGGTTTTGTTTCGTCCGCTGGAGAGGGAGGCAGGCACTGGGCTGTGTACCTTTAAGAGAGGGCGGAGAGAGTTAGAGCCCCGGGCTGTGTGTTGAGCGCAGCACTGAGCCTGTTTAGGTATCTCTTCGTTTTCTCTCTTCTGTTTTCTTCGTGCAGATTTTACTGTGTTATGTATTATTCATGAGTGACGCTTGGAGGCGGGGTTTGTACAAAGTATCAATAATAACAGCAGTGTCGAGGAGGCGGGCACGCTGACACTGAAGGTGGGTGGACGTTTTGCAAACGCTGACCTAACATTTACTTTCTTTATGCACACTGACACCAAAGCGTCTGGCAACGTTAAGTTCTGTATATTTTGGGCATGCGGCATTTTCTATGTTTAGTGTAATTAGTCTTTTATAACGGTAGTTATACAAGGTTTTATAACAGTATATTAAATAAATATATCATATATTAATACAATAGTAAATGAGATGTGCACAAATTTGCTAAATTTTAATAAACAATGTAATTTGCCCAAGATTATCACATAAATAAATAGGACCGGACACTACATAGAATCATTTCAGTTGATCTAATAATAAACTTTTTTTTTAAATGTAGTATTTTTCTCTCTCTCAAAATAACCAAATATGATCAGACTGATGTATTAGTATGTCACTAATTAGGATCTTTTAGGCTTTGATCTAAATGGTTAAATTCTAGCAGGAAAACCGTAGCCTACCATGTTTTGAGTAGGTATAGTAATGATTTAGCAAATTCTTTTATGTGCATTTGGCTTTGTGGATGATTGCTTGTTGCTTTCATTTCAGATCCATGTGTCCTCCAGCGTCAGTCTGAAACATGATAGAGATGTCATTTGACAAAGAAACCGTTTTATCTTGTGAGGGGCAAACAGACCCCACTTCCCAACAGCATTCAGAACTTACTAGAAATGATACCAGCGCTCCCCATCCGTCCGGGAACACCACAGTTATAAACCTCAGCGAAGAGGCAGGAAGTGAGACATCACTGGAACACAGAGAGAAAACCACTACCCCAGATAACAATACTCGGAGTGAAAGTGGGGTTGAATTGTCTACAGAAACTCAAAATGGCACCCAGCAGCCCAAACCTCAACTGCAGAAAGTCAATAAGCGCCGCAGCACGATGAGCGCTGGATTCAAACACCCTGGTTATGGTAAACGACGACGGCGTGCCAACTCTGAGAGCGAATCCGTCCTGCCAACCAATTTCCTGCTGGGCGGGAACATTTTTGACCCACTCAACCTTAACAGCCTTTTGGATGAAGAGGTGAACCGGGCTCTCAACGCAGAGACGCCCAAATCCTCGCCATTGCCAGCCAAAAACAGAGACCCTGTAGAGATCCTGATACCAAGAGATATCACAGACCCCCTGAATCTCAACTGCCCCAGTGCAGGGGACAGCAGTCTGTTGGTGTCTCCCCTGAAAAGTGGAGGAGGCAGGCGAAGACATCGGAACAAGCACCATGGAGCGAGCGCTGGAAGAGTTTCAGGTGAAGGAACAGTCGCACAGATGGATTTACCAGAGTCTAATGGCTGTGCAGCAGGACAAGATGAGGGAACAACAACAGTCTCCTTGGCAAACACACTTGTTCCTGAGGACCAACCCCTATTGGACTCTCTTGAGGCTCAGTGTTCAAATAAGGCTAATTTAGCCACAAACGGCAGTGAGGTGAAGGAGAAAACCATTGATATGTCAACCGCACCTTCATCCACAAACCCCACCAACCCTCCATCAAGCAGGCAGCGAAAACGCAGGCGTGCCGGAAACAGATTAGAGAATGCAGACAGTTCTAATAGCATGAGAAATTGGGGTCAGAGATCTGGGAGGCATTTTCAGCCCTCTCACACCCCAGGAACGGGCTCTCGTAGCGGAGCTGCTGAGAGGCCTCAACAGCATCCAAACCATTGGAGGTCGCAGAGCAACAGCAACCAGCTTCCACAACAGACTAAAAAGAAGTTTCAGTATGGCAACTATAACAAATACTATGGTTATAGGAACCCAGGGCTGAGCGAGGATCCTCGGATCCGCGTTATGGATCCCGAGTGGTTCAGAGGGAAGGAGGTATTAGATCTGGGTTGCAACACCGGCCACCTGACTCTATCAATCGCCAAAAATTGGCGACCGGCACGGATTGTGGGCTTGGATATCGACACGGCGCTGATACATGCTGCCTGGCAGAATATACGCCACTACCTTTCTGAGGTTCACACGCAGCAGGCCCGGCGTTCTGGGGAAAATGGGGAGGGGAATCGAGGGGAAGGGAAGGAGATGATTGAGGGGGATTTAGTGGAAGAAAAGAGTCGGAGGAAAGAGAAAGACGAGAGTTTTGTTGTGAATGAGGAGAGGGATGAGAAAAAAACAAAGCATGTGGACGAAGCGAATGAATGCATGGTCGAAAAAGGAATGGAAGTTGGTCGAGAAGAAAGGGAGAATAAAACCACTGAGGCTGATCAGGGAGAAAGGAGTAGGAAAATGGAAGATGAACCATCAGCAGGTCTCCCTGATGGGAAGCGTTCATTCCCTGTCTCGCTCCGGATCTCAAGAGGACCCATAGCTGGCCCCCCTTTGCCTGAGATGATCACAAACAGTCTCCCTCCTGGATATTTCCCTGCCAACGTGACCTTTGTCAAGGTAAGGCTGTTTTTTTTTTTTTCCTTGCTGCTTTTTTATTTGTAATTCATGTTCACTGGACAGGAATGTTTTGCTCCAAAGCTCAATTAAATTGCTGTATCAAGTATGCCTGATGTTATCATCTTTATGCCATATATAAATAATCAGCATTTAACTGAACTGAGCTAAATAAAAACACCATTGTCTTCTGTAAAGCTGCTTCTCAGCTGAAATTGAATTTGTTTCATAATTGATGATTTTTGCAACAATTTATTACTGTAAAGCTGCTTTCTAACAATCTGTATTGTATAAATGTGACTTAATGTAATGTATGTAATCACAATGATATACAATACAACATAAAATATTCATACATTATTCATGCACTCATATTTGAGCAGAATGGCATAGCAGCAAATAATACTAGTTGAGTAGTGAAAAACAATGAATTAATGAAATGTTCTGCACTACACAACAGATACATGCAAGCCTGTTGTTTATATTAGTTTTTAGCTATTAATTTGAATTTTATAAAGCCTTTTCTGTTTAAAGCACATACTTGTCAAGAAGTAATTAATATTTATTTGAATAGTTCCACCTACAAATTAAGTGCAGTAGGCACCTAGAAAGTAGTTGTGCAGCATATGTACTGGTGTCTGATGATCTGTCTTTTATCTGTTGTCCGGTTCTGCTTTTATGTGTACATGCATATACATTCTTATCCAAGAACATTAAAGCATTTAGCTTGAAATGTGGAATGTGAAAACCTTTAGACTTGGAGTGAACCAAGCCACATCCAGGGACAAGAGTGTCATTTGTCTCTTTTGACTTGGGTCAATAAGAAGCCACCCAGGACACCTTAGCATCTGCTTTGCAATGTGATTTTAAAAACACTTTGAACAAATTAGAGACCAAACAGCATTAAGGCAACCACCTTGCACCTTAGCATCTTGGAGGTAACTTATGAAATGGGTGTGACATGGTAACTTTTGATGTGTATGTGTATATAATACTATTAGGCATGCTGCACCTGTCTGTCCGTTTTCATAATCCTCTGTCTGTCTGACCTGCACAGGGGAACTATGTGCTGGAAAGTGATATGTTGCTGCGGACACAAAGGGAAGAGTACGATGTGATCCTGTGTTTGAGTGTGACAAAATGGGTCCATTTGAACTGGGGTGATGCAGGACTCAAACGGCTCTTCCAGAGAGTATACAGGCACCTGCGGCCAGGAGGACTCTTCATTTTGGAGCCCCAGCCCTGGAACTCCCCCCCCCCCCCCCTTTGTTGTAATTGTATCTATTCTGCCAAATGGTCAGACAAAACATTTGATGTTCAAACATTGTGTTAACATGTTTCTCAAATGTGTGTCCTGTGAGCAAAATAGTGATCTGATTTTATTTATAAGGAATTATCTGTGATGCTCATGCACCGTAATTACAATTGCATAATGTTAAGAGTTTAATGTTTTAAAATATACCATTTTGAATATAGAAATATGAAATAAAGTAATTATATAAAATGAAACTTTAAGGGATAATCTCATGATTTACTTACCCTCAGGCCATTGTAGGTGTATATGATTTTCTTCTTTCAGATGAATACAATCGAAGTTATATAAAAAAAAAATGTCCTGGCTCTTCCAAGCTTTATAATGGCAGTGAATAGGGTTTAAGATTTTGAAGCCCAAAAAGCTGTGTCCATACATCATAAAAAGAGCTCCACACAGCTCCAGGGGGTTAATAAAGGCTTTCTTGAAACGAATCAATGCGTTTTTGTAAGAACAATTTCCATATTTAATACTTTGTAAACCTTAATCTCTAGTTTACACTAACTGTCGTACACGTTAACGAGAGAGTGGCAATCCAGTGGATGATTTAGGCATAGTGTAAGCTCCAGAATATTCTAGTCTTGCGAGAACCAAGTTTTGTTTACAGGAGCAAAGGAAGCAATGTTTCCCTTGTTTAGCAAAGAAAAACCAGTCTCCTCTTGGCTTATATCGAAATCCTTCAACATTTTTCTTTACAAATCCTCGTTTTTTTTTACTTCTAATTTGTGGCCGGTGTTTTGCTTTGCCCTCTCCTCTGCGCTTCCGCGTTTGTAACCATGTTTGCTTGCGTCAACCACTGGAACGGCACTCTCTCATGAATATGCATGCAACAATGTTAGCGGAAGCTAGAGATTACGGTTTATAAAGGTGTGTGTTTGTTTTTTTTTATTTATTTTTTTTATATGTAACTTTTCCAAAGATGAGGCCGCAACCAATACATTTTAAACAGGACCCTGGAACAGACAAAAGTGGGCTGTTTCTAGACTTCAAAGGCCTAGTCTCATACTAAGAAGATCAGATGTGGAATGTAGTGCCAAGCCATCTAAACCCTTAAAAACCCTGTAGCAGCATTTTGAACTAAATGTAGACCGTGATCTCCGCTCATCCATAATGAGTTGCAATAATCAAGTCTAGAGGGAAATAAGGCATTTAAAACATACTCCATATTTTTAAATGACAGACTTGATTTTAGTTTACACTCTAAAAAATGCTGGGTTAAATACAACCCAGTGCTGGGTAAAATAGGGACAAACCCAGCAATTGGGTCAAAACAACCCAGTTGCTGAGTTTGTCCCTATTTTACCCAGCACTGGGTTGTATTTAACCCAGCATTTTTAGAGTGTAGCAATAGCCTCAAATCTTGAGGTGACTCAAAGATGACACCACGACAGACTTGAGCAAGAAATGATTAGGTGTTGTTTAGGTGTGATGCAAAGTAAAGTGACCTCAAAACAAGCATGTTATGAAACAAATGCAATAGCAATATATGACACCAATGTTCAGTGTAGTTCATTGTAAGTTAATGGTTTCTAGGAACGTGGCAAAATAATACAAAATTTAACTGACATCACAGGTGTGCATATATCAGTGACTTTGTGCATGCATTATTGAATTTAAAGCTGGAACATACAGTTTAAAAAGTGTAATTAAGCCTTTTGTCACACATTGGGGGATTTTCAAGTTGGGTACTTGTAGTTTAACCACATGCATTTTATTTAATTATTGTTTAATTTCTCAGGAGACCATCTTTAAGAATTACCACAGCATCCGGTTAAAACCGGACCATTTCTCCTCTTACCTGACTACTGAAGTGGGCTTCTCCAGTTATGAGCTCATCGGAACGTCACAGAATTATTCTAGAGGTCAGAGCTTTTGAAAGGCCTTTCAGTTCCTCTCTATAATATTATGATATAATGTAAATGTCTAACCCTCAGTTTGTCTTCTCTTAGGTTTTCAGAGACCAATCTACCTTTTTCACAAAGGACCCTCACCTCAAAAGTGATGCCACCAGTTTAACCACCAACTTTGAGAAGAAAACTGGATTGGATTTTGGATTGGACGGGATTGGATTTTGAAAACAACCAGCATTTGAAGCCACTGGAACTTTAAGCATTTTTCTTTGATGGTAGACTTTCCATATTTTGAACTCTTAAATGAAATCTCATTGGTGCTGAATAAGAGAAATTGTTCCCCTGCCATTAAAAATAAAGGAAAACCCATCGCAATTTTTTTTTCCCAAGGACTCTACTGAAGAATTACAGATGCAAATCAGTTTTCCCTACTGAAGCAAGATGTTTTTACCCTTCATAAACAATGGTCTTGTGAACAAGCACAATGTTGAATCCAATCAAGTCATATAAAAGTAATTTCTAAGCTCCTGTTCAACGCAATTTGTTTTTCATTTGCAATGAAATTCCTAAAATGAAAATTCCTGAGCGACTCTGGCTTCCTTTCTAGCACACAAAACTGGTAAACGACTATCTAGAATTGAAATGTTTGGTGGTTGGGTATGCGAACATTTTTCTTTTCTCAAAAGGAAAGATTAGAGCATGTTCCCAGATGTTCAGTTTTCAGATTTTTGCTGTTTTACTGTTGTATACTAATTTTTTTTTTCTTTACCCTTTGAACAAAGCATTGCTATTAACGGTTCTAGCATCTGTCTGCCCATCAGCCATTTTGCAGCCTGCATGGCTGCCACTTATTAACAAATACACTCTCAGAAAAAAAGGTACAAAAGCTGTCACGGGGGCAGTACCTTTTCAAAAGGCACACCTTTGTACCTAAAGAGTTTATATTGGTACCTTAAAGATACATATAAGTACCTAAAGTGTACCTTTTTGAAAAGGTACTGCCCCGTGACAGCTTTTGTACCTTTTTTTTTTTTTTTTCTGAGAGTGTACCAATGGCTTAATTTTAAGTTCATCAATTATATTGCCTGGTCTAACATGATTGTAATTTTGTCCTTGGCAGTTTTGAAGCTGCAGGTTAGCTGATATGCTATGATAAAGTGTTTACCGATCTAATGTCCTTTTAATAAAAATCCAGAAGGATGTGATTCCTTTTTAGTGTGGTGGGTCATAGAGAATGGTGTTTTGAACTTTTTTTTTTTTTTTTTTTTTTTTTTTTTTTTTTTAAATCTGTTTTGTTCTGATTCTCCAACTGTTAAAGTTTAACAAAAACCGAGGTACATTTTGTAAATTGTTTGTGCAGAGTTCTTGTCACAGCTGAGGTAACCTTGTTGTTGTTCGTTTTATTCCTATTGAAAGGTTTGCACTAAATCGAGAGAATAAATTTGTCTCCCACATTTGTATTTTCTTGTGCAAATGTAAAGTTGGTGTATCTCTGAAAAGGGTTCTTTTCATTCAAAGGACTCCTAGAAATTGAAAAATAAACTACAAAATAACATGAATTTGTTAATGGTTTTTTAATATATATATATATATATATTTCAATACTTAATTGTTGACCTAGTTTATAATTATGGAAACTAATGAGCCGAGCTGTTGTGTTAAAATTATGCTGCTCTTTCCTGGTTTATTAAAGTTCAAAATGGTATAGGATAATTCAATGCAGTATGCAAATTAACACTGTGATCTCGCCATGCAACACAACTCTAATTACATAAAATTTAATTAAACATCAAGGTTTCCCAAACTGGGGTTCATGACGTCACTGTAGGAGGTTTGTGAGTTTAATAAAAAGCAAATAATTAAATCATAAAAATGAAAAATTTAAATAAACAATTTTAATATAACAACAATCAAAACAAAATACTTCATAAAAAGAATGAAATATTTTATTGCTTACCTGCATCCCATATGGCCACAGAGAACTTTGAACATGCAAATGTGTTACTTAATGTTTAACTTATCTTACATTTTCAGAGGGTTCTTGATGTAAATATATTATTTTAGGCTGACAAAAAAAGTTTGGGAATCCCTGCAGTACATGTAAGTAAGAAATAACGTGAATGTGTGCCTTCCAATGAATTTTGAAAGCCTTCCGAAGACATAGTAATACATGGTATTACTCAAATAACCCACTGAGTGATAATAATAATAATACAAATATGAATGTGTTCATCAGTAGCAATGCTGAAATGTTATATCCAGTTATCAAATGCTGTGTAATTATAGCCACCTGACTAGTGACTGGGCTTTGTGTGAAATGTCCACAAGACTGGAAGATTTTCATAATGTATATAATGTAGTAGGCTATTTTAGAAAGATGAAAAAGAAGAATTAGGGAGAATGAATTAATTATGAATAATGTATTGCTATTTTGTTAATAATATCATGTAATCAATAAAAAAGTAACTGTAGTCTACGTATTTTAAAATAATACAACTTGCTTAATTTTTGGAATCTGATATAATGCCAGTACCCAGCACTGGTATATCATTATTCAAAACGCTGTTGAAGCTGATGGATTTGTCATGTGGTATCTGCTACTTTTCTCAGCGCTGGGTAACCAGATCAACAGCTGTTTATGAGGACCATTGTTCTTCTTCGAGTCATTTGATAAAGGTTCCCTGGCTGGAAGAGTTCCATTTGTATAAGTACGAGACAAAAGGAAATGTTGGATTGAAACTATCATGCAAATGTGTACAGTGACAAAAACCGCCCTGAGTTATGAATGCAGATCGATTGAAAATACGTAAACTACTTTTACCTCGTAAGTAAAAGTTATTACCCACCACATTTGCCACTCAAGCAATGCAGAGTGAGCAGTGACACTTCACAATATGTTGCGCTGAGCCTGTAATAACGTAATATTATTACTGAAACGGTCAAATTGTTTCCCCAAGCACGTTAAATTGTTTCCGTAAAATGTTGCAATATCCCAAACGACCACAAGATAGAGCAATTTTACAAAAACAAGGTGTCGTTGTAACAAAATCGAGAAATTGCTTTATCTTGCTATTCTACGTCACAAGCTTTACCATAGTAAGACATGCACAATTGTAACATTTAAGTCTACAATATAACCAATTTAACCATAGCCTATTGCTTACAGACGCACGTGAGTGTGTGAATATAACCTATGTAAAAATGCTTCTGTCTGTCCACAGCCAGGCAATGTGTGAACACACATTTCTGACTGCAGATATGTGTGTTAAATATTAATGCCCCCAGCATACCCAACACGTGTTGTGTATGTATGTGAATGTAATTTTATGATAGGCTCAATGTTGCTACGGGCAACTCGCCTATATAAAAAACTTCATAGCCTATATTAAAACCCAACTGAGACTCAACATCACTGCTCCACTCTACAGCCACTGTCTCTGTCTCTCTCACACATGCAGAGCCACACCAATCCATATACAATTACAACTACACATCAGAGCATAAATGCACAATAAAGCAAATGAGTATGTGCACATTGACGCACACGTTTCAACAGACACACACATGCACTTATGTAACAGTGATGTAGTAGGAGTGAAGATGTATGGTCAGGCCATTTAAAGGCAGATTTGAATTGAACCAATAAAAACACTCCTCTTTGTTCATTGTCTTCTTTCTGTTAATTAAAGCAACTGTCTATTGCTTTCTCTCTCTCTCTTTCCAAGCAGTCCTCACATTCAAGTAATAGCAGCACCACACAACACACTATTGTACTTCAAGAACTCAAGTGCCATGGATTCTGCATGGCACATACAGATGGTTTGGATTACCTTCAGTTAAAACACTCTTCCGTTAGCAATGAAACACTGTTTGAATAAAATAGTCTGAATTATGAAGTGTTTTTATTTGTAGTTGTGTAGAAATATACACCACCCTGGGGAATGAAAATGTGGCAACCGATTTATTGCACAACCATTGACTCTTGACTGTGTGGAGATGCTGATTGAAAGGCTTTGAAGCTCTGACATACCCATTGACTGACTTTAATGGTATAGTCCACTGTCTTAAAAGTGATAGATAAAAAAAAAAAGTTGTGCACAACATAAAACGCAGCGTGTTTTTGCTAAAATGGCTATTAATCTGTCTCATTCTCATCTCACTGTTCAGCACTGGATGGGTATGAACATGTATATGGGGAAAAGACTGAAGTGTTGTTAACACACAGGCATAAAAAGAAGCAAATAAGATGACAGTGTCACTAAAAATAGCCTCATCTTCTCTCCTCTTCAATCTCTCACCCTCTTTTTCTCTCTCACCACCTCTCTTTCTGTTTTCTCTAGTCTTTTATTTCAGAGAGGAAATAAAATGAATGCAGTGCCTTGTTTCTGTCTTCTTTCTGTCTCAATTTGGGGGTTTTCAGGAATAGAATAGTAGTCATACTATTCATGCAGTACACAGTATATAGTATGCACATTTTCAGTGAAAGACATACTTGTCTATTATATAAGCGCACTAGTGGATTACTGTATGGCACAATACTGCATTAAGCCTACTTTTAAAATCTGTATTTTTTTTAAAATATGCAATAATGCAGTGAACATATTTGTCACATGAACTGCCATGGCCTTTCACCCAGAGTGCCACATCAGCAGGGGGCGCTGATGAGATGCAAAACACTGTACTTTTCATTGTTTCTTTTCTTTTCTTCTTTCTTTTTTAAGAAATATTCTTTCTCATGTGATTAGTTTCACAGTTATTATTAATTATATTAACTGCCAGATTACAATAGATAATGCCTATAAAGGTGAGAAAAAAAATGACTGTACATTTCAAAATATTGAATAGTGACGAATCTATGAAAAATCTGTAGGCTAAAAAAACCCCATTTACATAAAAATGTCATTCAGTGTAACAATATGCCAAAAAATCTTGTCAGTCATGTCAATTATGACATAGTAAAAGACTCAATTTAAGGATCACAGTGCAGCCCCTCAAAACTAATTACCTGTAATTTTCAGTCTTTACCAAACTTTGCCATTATCCTTCAAAACATTATATTTGATCAATTTGTCAGTGGAACGTTTTCTAGATATTAAAAAAATATAATACAATTTAATATGAACTCACTTTTGTAAATTTAATGTAATGCAGGTATCTCGTCTTTGACCCATGTATTGCTAATTTGCAATTCATTTGCAAATAATTTTATTTTAAATAACAACACTTTTATTGTTTAGCCCTGATTGTAGGATACATTAGCCCACACAGTGTACTCTGCAGTGTTATGCTGCAGATGCAAATGCAGTGGGTCATCCATCGTGCGAACAGAACTACCGTGCAGAGTACACGTTATTTGTCGCACACTCTAGAGCGCTGTACGCAGTGCGCGTGTGTTCCATTTGTACGCGGCCTGCCAGCTCACCGATTTCACTGCGTTTTCTAAAGCCACGGCCACATGACAATAGCCCGGCTATTTACACAGAAACAACTCTGCAGCGTTGCCAAGGCAACGGCTACCGAAAGCCATGACAACCAGAGTACCCTCGTCATCTACCAGTCTTCCTTTCTTTGTCTGAACTCCCGTCTTCGCGTATTCCTTCACATCCGGCACTTTCCTTGAGTAATTTCGCTCTTTAACTGTCATTCCCTCTCTACACGCGCATCTTCACCTCCCCTTCCATCTTTTTACGTCCCCTCCCTCTGTGCGCGCTCGCTCGCGCTCTCTCTCTTCATCTTCTGCCGCTTCAGTCCGTTCCCTCTTTCTTTTCTCCCCCTCTTCGTCACCTCTCGTCTCTGCACTCATCCTCCCCAGCCCATCTCCTTTCATTTGCGCGTATCCTCTCCTCCATCTCTCCGTTTCGTCTCTTTTTGTTTCTCCCCTCATCGATACGAACGCATCCCTCTTCTCGTCCTTTC